CTCCTCATAGTGTTTCCACTAGTGAACTCTGAGCTGATTGCAGGTCATGATAGAGGTCATCGTGATTAGAGACGGAGGGACAGACGGAGGGAAGCGTGGGAGCGTATGGCAGATCCTGATCCCCAGTCAGCTGTCTGCTACTGATGGACATCACACGAGTCCCGAGTCCTGACCTCAGCTGACCCAGGCTCAGTTGTGTTTATGTAAGTTGATCATTCTAATGGTAGAGGTTAATTCAAGGTTAAAAATAACAGGGATTATTTTGTCTTAAAGGACTGCTTGTTCCCAGCTGTTGCTCTGGAACATCTGGACATCCCCCAGGATAACAAGTGGACGGCTGTGAAGACGAGTCCACAACCACCTGGTGGTCTTTTATCTTTTATTGCGTGAACTACGTCACTACGAAGACTTCCTCTAGAGCAGCGGTCCTCAACCTTTTTGGCCTTACGGACCGGTTTCATGTTAGACAATATTTTGCGGAAGGTCTTGAAGGTGTGGCTGATAAACACAACTAAATAACAGGTCGACGGGGGGAGGAGGGGGGGTAGTTGTTGCGGCCTACGAGGATCAGGTGGGGGAGGAGGAGTAGTAGTTGTTGCACAGCAAAAAACAGCTTGTGGGAGGCTTTGGAATTGGAATTGGCATTGGAAGAGAATCCCGCATTTATATGGCTTCTTTCTGCTTTTAGGTCTTCTTCAACACAGCAGGATGTTTATTTAGTAAATTATGGTCCATTTAGAGTCAAACAGAACATAAAGCAGGGGATGCTTTAGGGCGGAGCTACACGCTGATTGAGAGGTCTCTACCAGAGGCTACAAAACGTCCACAATCCGACGAGTCTCTCATGAGAACTACGTCACTTTGTACACAGAGAGGAAAACCCAGATAGAAACATGAACTCTTTGTGTCTTCACAACTCACCAAACTGCTGTTTGTGGAGGGTTCTGTCCCCAACCGAGCTGTACCTCTCAACACCAAGGCTCTGGAGTACCGTGTGTTCTCTACTGGTCGGTCCACTAAGGTTACGTTGGACCTCACGTTGGCATGTGTGTAACGCCGTGGTCGAAACGCAGGGGTCCCCACACTTTTTCGGCTTGCAAGCTACTTTTCACTCAAGTTTTCAATCCAAGTCATGGCGATTTGGTATTGCCATGAGATTTATTTCCTCTGGAAAGTTCCTATGACTAATGCTGCCTTGTTCCTATGAACAGGAAGTGCTAAATGCTTGAGATGGTTCTAACCAGTCTATATTTCCTGTGTAAGCTTCTTTAACAACTTTCATTTCATCTTTCATTACTTTCACGATGCCTTTTTATTCAACAAAACCAACACCTTCCTGCTCAGGTTGTGTGGATTCATCTGCTGCTGAAATTGTCCCAACAAAGTATTTATTTATTTTTGTTAGTTTGGTCTAATCAGTTATGAATTTCCAAAGTTCCAGGCCGGACCCCCAAGCCAAGTGGCTTCTGACAGGAGCAGCTGGTGCCCCCCCAACAGGTTGAGTACATTTTCAGAACACCTATTACCAAGTCCTAGTTCACCTTCAGCATAATTAATGTGACGAGAGGAGCTGAAAGGATGGAATGTTATAAAATATTAAGACACATTAGACAATATACAATATACAAACACAATATTACATAATATAATATGATGTAATGTAATACAATTAGATATAATATAATATGATACAATATATATTATATATATATGCATCAAAATAATTGAATAATCTGAATATATAGTTCACCTGTCTTGAGTCCCTCTGATGTCTGAAGGACTCATGTTCATGTTAACCAGCTGCCCCCTAGTGGCCCTTCACCATCACCATCATCAGCATCATCATCGTCATCAGCATTCTGAGGCTGAGAGCTTGACCTATTATTTAGTCCACCCTCAGGCATATATAAATATTAGAAACGTTTCACTGCTTCATGAGTTATTTTAATAATTAAAATCCAATAACAGGACAAATATTATTCTGATATTCATGCTTTTATTGTTACTTGTTTTATTTCAGATATGTTTTCATTCAGAAAGAAATGTGAATTTCCTTTGATGCCATATGATGCTAATAAACAGTCAAAACCCTAATTTATTTCATTGATTTGATTGATTCATTGATTATTAAAGATGTTAGAGATTTACTTTTTATATTTCATTGCACATTATTCTGGTCTGGAGATCTCCAGACCTTCATCAGATAAACGTTGGATAGGAGATCTCCAGACCGTCATTAGATAAACGTTGGGTAGGAGATCTTCATCCTAGCCAAATGTTGGATGGAAGATCACCGTCAGAGATCACCTTAACAACAGGAAGAGATGTTGAGGTGGAGGCCAGGCTTTCTGAACAAAAGGTCTGCAGGCATCATGGATTGACAGGCCAACTCTCTGACGAGCTGCAGCAGAGAGACAAGCCCCGGGGGAGGGGGGGATCAAAGGTCACACAAGGTGTCAGTGATGGGGAGACACCACGGCCCGGTGATCCCTGGATGTGTCCATGTCCACTTTAAATGAGATCTATCCAACAGCCTGCTCATGGGTTTCTACATAAACGTCTTCATATGTTCATGTGGGATCCAGGGTGAGGCTCATTTAATAACAAAAATTCAGTGAATGTGTGGTTATGTTTTCCTTACACATGAGGAGGGAAAGATGCAACTGAGTTTGGAGTAAAAATCAATTAATTAAAAAGTACCTACAGCGTCTTTCAGCTTAAAGAACTACATTACCCAGAAACATTTTTTCTGGGCGCATGCGTGGTTACGTCTTGACGACGTGAATTGTAATGTTTTCGGTAGCAACCGTGTTCAGAAATAATAAAGGTAAGACATGATGCAAAATTACACTTTAAGAGCCTTTAAAAACTCATTTATGATACGAAGACACGAACATCACTATTATGACACTATAACAGCGAACGTTAGCGAGCGAAGTTAGTTCACCTAGTTTGCCTTTTTAGTAAGCTAACGTTAGCTAACTGAGCTAACGTTAATGTAAACTCGTTGCGAGTTTTGAGACTCGAATTTTTTTCAATTGCTCCGTTGAATAGAAACTACAATAAACACTACACATCAGGTTGTATTAAGGCAAAGACAACTTTACAGACGTAGTTTACGTAATTTTCTGCTCAAATCACGTCGGAGGATGTGATGCCAGACTGCGTTTCAAATCTGGCGTCTTGTTAGCTCAGTGCCCGGAGAATCGTCATCTGATCATTTAGATGTTGACCTGAAGAACCCAGAAGAACCATGAGATGTTTACCTCAGTTCGGCTCCTGTGACACACAGCGAAGAGCACGTGTTCTGGGATTCTAACATTTTTAGAAGCAGCCCCCCTCTGGTTGCTGCGATGTGTTGAACGTTCTACAGCAGGGTCTCCTAGTTTGTCACTAGAATACAAATATTGACATGGGCTGTATGAAATTATTTAAATTGAACTCACTAGAAGAGCTATTCTAATATCTGTCTCCCTTCTCACAGTGATATTAGCTAAAATGTTCTAGATTTTCCAATGGAGTCTGGCGTGATGTTTCCTTTCCAGCTCAAGACATGTCCACCTTCCACGATGAGACGGCAGCTGATGTTCCGGTCCGAGATGTCACAGTGAACCTGTCCCGACCAGCAGCAGGTCTCCATGTGATTTCATGATGTAATGATGTCATTCATTTAGGAAACATGATCACTGGAGCTCTGTCTTATAAACTGTGTGTGTGTGCATTATAGGGACAGACTGGTCGGCCCTGGACAAACAGGACATCTCTCGTGTCTCTAGAGAGGAGCTGGAGGACAGATTCCTACGACTCTACGAGGAGACCCTGCTCCTCAAACAGCATGTTCACAAGCAAGAGGACAAGATCAGGAAGTGAGACACAAAGATACACATAGACACACACAGACAAAAGCCCTCACAAACTCTCACACTCAACCCCTGAGCAGGAGACCTCAGTGAGTTTCTGGGGGGTCTGGGCTCAGGGAGGACACTGGGATTGGGCCTTTACTTCTCTTTATAACCCTCACCTCTTCTTCTTCTTCTTCTTCTTCTTCTTCTTCTTCTTCTTCTTCTTCTTCTTCTTCCCACCCCTCCCAGGCTGGGCACCAAGCTGATGAGGCTTGTGAAGGACCGTGGTCGTATGGAGCAGCTGGCGGTGGGGGGCGGTCCGCCAGCCTCCAGACTTCGTGACGTGGAGATGGAGGAGATGATGGAGGAGCTCCAGGAGAAGTTGCGGAGTGTCCAGGCGGAGAAGGAGGTGCTGAAGCAGCGCCTCCTGGTGGCCAAGCAGCAGCTCGTCACCGCCCACTGCGGAAGGATGTCTCCGTATCGCCAGGTCCAGTCCCGAGTGAACTCCGGGCTGAAGAGGCTGAGGGACGACGTCCCCTCTTCTCGTCATGCTCCGCCCACAAGTAGGTTTTGACCACCTCCAGGTGATTCCATCCATTCAGATGCTCCACAGGTAGAAACTAGGTTTGTCCCCTCAGGTACCCGTAGTTCAGAGGGAGTCAGCCGCCCCCCCCCGGGCCTCTTACCTCGGTTTGGACACAGCCTCCTGGAGGAGGCGCGAGCAGAACTCCGTCACCTGTGAGTTTAATGAACAACCAGAGCAGCAACTCAATGTTCTTTAGACACCCTCATCGCACACTGGAACATTCCTTCTGTTAACATTCCCATCCCGGTTCTCCCTCTGGGAACCAGGGAGAACGTGGTGGAGCTCCAGAGGAGCCAAATGGAGGAGATGGAGGTAGCGTCAGAGCAGCTGAGGGAGGAGCTGAGGAGGAAGGAGGCAGAGTTTGAGGACAGGCTCATGCAGGTCCGAGAGCAGCAGACCTCCAAACTGAGGTACCGTGTTTTTCTGTGGTTCCTACAGAAAACAGCCTTCATCCATCCCACGGTCCCTGAACACATCACGAGTGAACAACAACACCACAGAAAAAGGAACCAAAGCAAAGATTAAATTTGTGTTTTTATTCTGTGTGCTTCATTTAAAATCTCTCCACTAATAAACCTTTTCATTTGACCAGATTCAGTTATAAACAATAAATCCTGAGCTCCTCAGTCAAACTATGACGTCATCATTAATTAATCTGAGACCAACAGTCATGTGACCATATATCTGAGGACATAGGACTGAAACTCAGGAAGTGAGATGGACAGAGGACACATGAAAGTTTTGTTCATGTTGTAATTCTAGTCATCAGGGTTCTGTTTTTAAAGGAACTGGACCTTTGTTTTGACAATCCAAACCAGAGGGAGAAAAATGAGATCGGAGGAAAAAAAAGTCTCGAAGGAAAGTTGATAAATTTAATGTTTTCCTCCCTTGAACTTGTGTTTAAGTCAAATTAATCATTTTGGTAGGAATGAAATCTATGTTGCTGTTTTTCACCTCCAACTATTATTATTATTAATTCATTAATAGCCATAGAAACATGGTGCTGTTTACAGTGGAGAACTCTTGATCATGCAATAATTAATTAGACACAATAATTAATGCTCCCCCCTCCCCCAACCCTATTTTGATGATGACATTGTGGTTCGCAATTACATTGGCACCATAATAATACAGTAATGTTGTTTCCATCACTCCAACCAGAGGTCAGAGGTCATCTTCTCTCAGGTCTCAGTAGACTAACGTCTTCTTCTTCCTCTTCCTCTTCCTCTTTTTCTTCTTCTCTCTCCGGTTCTGGTCAGTGTGAGTGTGGCGGTTAAAGAGCGAGTGGCGGTAGATTTGAATGTTCCTGGTCTTTGGGTGTCTTACTATGTTCTTCCTCTGTTGATGTTCCTGATCTGGTGAGTCTTTATAACTGCTGCTTTGTGTGTGGAGTAATTGCGCGTAATCCAGGTGTTTTCGGGAGGAATGCCGTCCTCCAAGACATCTTGTCTTGGAGGACGGCTGTTGATTGTGGAGGCAGAAATATCTTTCTGCTTCGTCAACATCTATGCACGGAACCAGGGAAGACAGAGAGCGGCTCTTTTCCAACATAGTGGACACTGAATTAAGGCAGGAGCTCCTGGAGAAGCTTCCTCAGCTCAGCCCGGAGGAGAGAGCTGCGTGGGATTGGGACGCTGGAGGAGTTGACGTTGGGTCAGCCGCCGGGGATCTATGGTCTTTCCGCAGACTTTTTCAATCACCTGTGAAATATACTTGGACTGGACTTGGGGGGCTGGTTTGGAGAGTTTGAGAACAGAATGTCTTCCGGTTTCCTGTCAGCGAGCGGTGCTCTCTCTGCTGCCGAAGAAAGGAGACCTGGCGCTACTCAAGAACTGCAGACCGGTGGCCCTCCTCTGCACTGACTACAGGATGCTCTCAACAGCCCCATCAAATTAACTCAAGGGCAACCAGAGCGTAGTGGTACGTTCAGACAAAACTTATTGTGCACCTGACAGGACCATAATGGACAACCTTTTTTTCATAAGAGACACTTTCCTTGTGTGCAGAACAATTAACGTGAACTTTGATGTTGTGTCTTTGGATCAGGAGAAAGTCTTTGACAGGGTGGACCACTCATATCTGTTGTCTGCACTTTGGAGGTTTGGTTTTAATGATGGTTTTGTGTCTTTGGTTGGACTATTGTACAGTGGTGGGCAATGTATGATGAAATCGGGGGCAGGGCTGAGTCGGCCAATCCCTCCTCCTTTCAGTAAATTCCTCTGCTCCTCCCTCCAGGACTCACGTCAGTGGGAACATGGTGATGATCAAACTCCAGAAGCAGCTTGTGGAGCGAACCAACGGGGTGATGGAGCTGGAGGGACGTTTCCTACAGCTTCAGGAGGTACACACCAATGACATCACACATGCAGGAGGAGGGGAACTCCTGCCTTTGTGATGTTAGGTAGAGGGGGAGAAGGAAGAATGCTGGGGCAGGGGTGGGAGAAGGCAGATGAGGAGGAGAAAGAAGAGGCGGATGAAGAGGAAGAAGAGGTGGGGTGGGGCAGGGGAAGGAAGAGAGGGAATTGGATGAAGAGGAGAGAGATGGGGAGGATGCATGGGAATGACTGGAGAAATAGGAGGAAAAAGGGGATGATGGGAGGAGGAAGGAGGGAAGAGTGGAGGAGGAAGAAGACCCTCCAGAAGAACCTTTGTGTCATGCTGTGTTCCAGAGTCAGAGGAACCTGCAGCTTGTTCACGATGGCGCCATGCTGAAGGTGGAGGAGCTGTCAGCTCAGCTGAAGAAGGAGAGGTTGAGGAGCTCTGAGCTGGAGACAAGGCTGCAGAGCTCCTCCATATCAAGGATGAAGATGGAGGAGGTGAGGACCACAGAGCTTCTGTTGGACTCTGTGAGCCGTGGCAGCTTCATGTGAAAATGTTTCTTCTCTGGTGTAGCTGCAAGAGAGGATGAACGAGGCGGAGCAGGAAAGAGACTTGTTGAAGGCCAACAACGAGCAGCTGCTCAACAGGTGAGGAGGTCTCTAAACGTTCTCACTTGTTTCGTGGAGAACGTTCTCACGTTTTTTTCTTCCAGATCCTTGGGCGTGTCTCTGCAGCAAAAAGGTCAGATTCAGGAGCAGCAACTGAAGCTCCAGATCGCCCAGCTGGAGGCGGCGCTAAAAGCTGACCTCATTGACAAGAACGAGATCCTGGATAAGATCAAGGCTGAGAGAGGTGAAGAGGAGAACATTCATCTCAGGGTTTGAATGTTTTTACGAAGATTAACTCATTATTACTTATTTCAGACTCAAACCAGAAGCTGACAGAAGAGAATAAGAAACTTCATCTCCAGTTTCTGGAACAGAAGCAGCAGCTGGAGGAAGCAAACCAGCGCCTTGGCGTCTATAGCAGGGTGAGAGGAAGAGATATTAATGATTATAATAATGATAATAAAGTCACTGTGTCATAATAGTTTACTGGTGTTGTGCTTGTTGAAGGAGAAGGAGTACGACGAGGCTGAACTCACCGAGGCTCTGCTGCTCATTAAGGTCACTGGAAACCTCTTTATGTTGCACGTCTCAGTGAGACCTAATGAACCATCTCAACCCCGGAAACCTCTCAGCCCTTACCTCTGAACCCTGACCTCAGAACCATCTCGACCATTTCATTTAATTCACTTTATTTTGTTTAGTCAAAAATTACAAATTTGCCTCAGAGGGCTCAACACATGCAATCTGTACACGCGACATCCTCCGTCTCAAAACCCTCACATCGGCACAAGAAAAACTCGCACAGACGTCTGTGAGGAGGAAAAGCACAAATACTGGTAACGTCGCTCTATGATGACAGCAATAGTGATGTGATATTTATGATAGTGATAGCAGTAGCAGTTGTCAGCAGGGTCCAGACGGAACGAAAGCGAGGGGGACAGACAGACCGACTTGTTTTCTTGATGTAACAGGGAGCCAGTGCAGAGAGCATTGTAACGTTCTCCTGTAATTAAATTTAAATCCACATTTTTATTGTAAATATACTTTTTTTGTACATACTTTTACATACAGATTTTTTTTATCTTTTCTATAAAAGTAGCTGCTATTCCTAAAAAGTCCACTGGGCGCCGCACTCTGTGATTGAGCGCATGCGTTGGACCAGGTCGTTCACCAAAGCAGTGCCGGTAAATCACCTTCCATTGAAAGAAAAAATCACGTTCGGTCACCACGCACGTGTAATCGCTTCTGACAGATGAGAGGCTCGTTGTGTTTTTTTTTGTTAAATATCTATTCAGAGTGAGTGAAAAGTAGCTCGCGAGCCCAAAAAGTGTGGGGTCACCTCTGAACATCTCAACCCTGGAACCATAGAACCTTCTGAACCATCTCAATCCTAGAACCTTTTCAAACCCAGAGGCATATTTTCCATTAATCACCAAACTGAACTAGAAGCTGTTGAAAACTGTTGATACTGGTTCCCATTGGTCACCCGGAGGTCTAAACGGGGTCTCCTCACAGAAGCGTACGTCTCAGCGGAGTGGACATCTGAGCTTCCTGAAGGAGGAGGAGGATGAGAAGGAGGAAGGAGGAGGAGGTGGCAGGGGCGGCAGCAGCAGCTCAGAGGGTGACGTGCGAGAGTTGCGAGCTGTTCACGCCGAGACCATCCAGGAACTTGAGAAGACCAGGAACCTCCTCAGCATGGAGGGCAAGATAAGCAAGGGCTACAAGGTGAAGCTCAGACCAGCACACTTAGCGTCCATCATCTGATGACTTTTCAGAATAAACCTTTAATAATAGACTCGTCCCTTTGACTAGACGCTGATGGTTCCTTCTTAGTCTCGTCCCTTCACAGAAGGTCGTTTCACCTCACTAGCAGATTAGATCAAATATTCTTTTTGCTCTTATTCTGAAAAATACACTGTTTTATACTACTTTTGTATTTATATAAAACAGATAGTATTTAAATAAATGTTTTATATATGCTTTTATCTATACTGTATGTATATAATGGATGCACATGATGGTGTACTCCCAGCATGTGCATCCGTTGTGGAGCTGGTAATGATCCTGTTGTCTCTCTGAGGAGGCGGAGCTTGAGGCAGTGTTGAACAAGCTGGAGGCAAACAGAGTGACGTGGGAGCAGAAGCATGAGCAACAGGTCGCTCTACTGGACTCCAAAACCGCTAAGATCCATAGACTGGAAGGTAAGCCTGACTCTTCGTTATGTTTATATATATATTTATATATATATATGTTCTTTTTCCTTTCGCAGTCTTCGCCCGCACCATTTTTAACCCGAGTACCGCCTCAAAATAAAAGCATCTAACTCAAAACAGGAAATGCACAACGAAATCCACCAAAAACATGCAACAAAGGCGAAACATTCATTAATAGACACAAATTGGGTTAGTTACATATATGAATATGCAGGCCCGTGCACAGATAGACTCCTAATGGTGCTCAAGCACCTTCCCTTTTGAGGATGAGAAAATTGCCCCTTCTGCTGGAGCCCAATCTTTTCTTCGTTTGTCATTATTTAAGTATAAAAACTACGGGGGATACAAGCCTGCGCCCCTCCCTCCCTCCTTATTACCATATGTTGCTCGGCCCTGTGACTGAACTGTGACCCGTTAACTCTCCCTATGCTCACACATCATACACTACCCTTTCTGAAAAGCATGTGTGGCATCTACAATACCACACTACAACTATTATTTATTCATCCCTTGATGTTACTTCTTTATTTCTATTTAATTAAATTTTCTATCTATTTAATAATTTTTATTTTTTGATCCCGTTTTCTGTTGGAGTGACCACCATTTGATGTTTCTTGTTATTTCTGTGCATTGTACACAGCACCTGAATAGTATGTGTACCAAGACTACATACAACTGAAAGAAGGACAAAGTAACTGTCTGAAATAGAAAGTGAGTTTGAAAACCAAAAAAAGTTTGGACACAGTTTCTCAATGAATTGAATGAGAAAATGTGCCGAAACCTTTGACTTGTACTGCAAATAAATATCCGTGTGTGTGTGTGTGTGTGTTTCAACCTGATTGAATAATAATAATAATTGATTGTCATTGCTTATGAACTGAAACTCCCTCTAACAACAGTTTGAGATCATTGTTTGTCACAAACGATCATTGAAGATGTTTTCCTCCTCCTCCTCAGCTCAGCTCCGAGTCCTGTCCTACAGCACCACACCCTCTGTCTTCAAACAGGACATCCCAGATGAAGATGGGTTTGAGGAGCAACCTCTCCACCTGGAAGAAGGAAAAAACCTGGTGGAGCTCCAGGTGGTCAGCGCCTCCTTCTCGCCGTCTGCTCTGCGGCTCCTGGGGGACGCCGAGCTCTCCACCTTCTGCACCTACTCCTTCTACTCCTTCGAGCTGCACTCTACCCCGGTGGCGAGGGGCCGGGCGCCGCACTACGGCTTCACGTCCCAGTACCCAGTGACTGTGGACCAGGAGCTGCTGGACTACCTGCTGCGGGGCTCAGTGGTTGTGCAGCTGCAACAGGCCCTGGGACTGGACTGGAGGACGCTGGCAAGGGGGCACATACGCCTGCAGGCGCTGCTGGAGCGAGACGGGGGGGTCCAGGGCAGCGTGCCGCTTGTTGGTAAGTGACCATGGACATGAGACATGGGACTCTGACACACCTATCCAGAGCTTCTACATGTCAAGGTTTTGCTTAGTCCCCTGTTTACTTGTCCAGGTTTGTCTTAGTCCCATGTCAACCTGTCCAGGTTTGTCTTAGTCCCATGTCAACCTGTCCACGTTTGTCTGGTTCCCATGTGTACCTGTTCAGGTTTGTCTTAGTCCCATGTCAACCTGTCCAGGTGCTTCTACCTGTCCAGGTTTGTCTTAGTCCCATGTCAACCTGTCCAGGTGCTTCTACCTGTCCAGGTTTGTCTTAGTCCCATGTCAACCTGTCCAGGTGCTTCTACCTGTCCAGGTTTGTCTTAGTCCCATGTCAACCTGTCCAGGTGCTTCTACCTGTCCAGGTTTCTCTTAGTCCCTTGTCTACCTGTCCAGGTGTGTCTGACGAGGCTCGCTCCTTTGGCTCTGTGGACTACTGGATGAAGCTGAAGGTACCGCTGACGGAGACGCTCCTCCTGCACAGAGAGAAGCCGAAGGAGAAGGACTACGTCAGCAACACTCTGAACCAGGACGCACAGGTACCACAGCTCCTCCCTTCTCATCCTTCTCCTTCTTTTCCTCTTGTCTCTTCATGAACCTGTGGCTCATCTTTGTCTCTCATCCTCCCCTTTCATCCTCCTCATAAACCTGTAGTTCTCCTCTTTATCTTCTCATGAACTCTTTGTCGTCCTGTACCTCCTCTACCCAACACATAAACCTCTGGTTTCTTCTCTTCTTCCTCCTCCTGTTGTCTCCTCATACACCTCTGGTTCCTCCCCTGCAGCTCCTGCCTGGCTGGAACCAGCTCCTCCTCACAATCCATGGCTGCAGAGACCTGAGGAGGTCCGGCGCCTCTGTGCCCCCGCCGAGCCCCTTTGTGGTCTATAAGTTTTATGACTTTGGGGACCACCCGACTGCCACCGCCTTTCGCTGTGCCTCCCCCGAACTCCAGGACCTGAGGTCCTACCCCGTCGCCATGGACGCGGAGCTGGACCGGTACCTGAAGTCGGAGGCCCTGCTCCTCTACGTGTTCGATCATGAGGAGGAGCGTATGGACGCCTACCTGGGGAGGGCCCGGGTGCCTCTGCTGCCTCTGTCCCGGGACCAGGGGATCTCTGGTGAGGGTCTGACGCCATTGTCTGGTCTCCATGACAGTGGAGAAATATGAGACAGTAATGGTGTTGGTAAATCTATAAATTAGGTTTAAGGGTTTGAAGCTGAACTGTGAAGTCACGGTTTGATATTCATCTCTGATTAACTCCTTTTTCATCCTCTTTCTCTTCATCTCCATCTCCTCTGCCTCCTCCTCCTCTTCTCCCCCCCTCTTTTGCTTCATTATCTTCTTCTTTCTCCCCGCTTCCTCTTCACCATCCTCTTCCTCCCCCTCTACCTCTACCTCCATCATCACCATCTTCTTTCTCCTCCTTTATCTCTTCCCCTCCTCCCCTCCTTCCCTGCCTCCTACTCTTCCCCCCCTTTCCCTTCATCATCTTCTTCTCCCTCCCCTCTCTTCCTCCTGCTCTACTTTCTTCTCCTTTTACTCACCCTCTTTCTCCACTCCTCCTCTTCTTTTTCAATTCCTTTTATTTTGTGTAGCCCCAAATCACAAAATACAAATGAGCTTCAGAGGGATTTACAGTCTGTATACATGTAACCTCCACTGTCCTGAAACCCATCGGCACGGGACAAACTCCCCAAAAAATGAAAAACCCTTCAACAAGGAGAAAAAAAGGAAGAAGCCTTAGGCAGAACGTTGGAGCATTCTTGGCCTATAGCAGCCATAAGACTCTGGGTCCCATCCTACTTTTTAAGACAACAAGTAACCAGCATCTATGGAGCGCAGCTCTCTAGTAGGGCAATACGGTGTTCTTTAAGCTCTTTAAGATAAGACGGTGCCTCACCATCCATCTCTTCCTCTCCATCTTTCCCTTCATCATCTTCTTCTTCCTCCACACCATCCTCTTCCTCCTGATCTACTTCCTCCTACTCTTCCTCTTCTGCCTCCCTATCATCCTCCTCTTCCTCCCCCTCTCTCTTCATTTTTTTACAAAAGCCTTCATGTTTCACTTCTTCTTTTATAGAAGTTCTTTTATCGACTTTATATTGAATGTAATTAAAGATAAGAATTCATTTAATAATAATAATGGAAGAATCTCCTGTATCCTCCTCCTGTATTAATAATACTAATACTAATATCAATAATAATGATAATAAATTATTTCCCCCTCAGGACTATTTCAGCTCACTGATCCCTCCGGACTCAACGCCGGCCTCCTCGAAGTGACGCTGAAGTGGACGTCCGCCTACAGAGAGAGGGAGGACGAGAGGGAGGACGAGAGGGAGGACGAGAAGGAGGACGAGAAGGAGAAGAAGAAGGAGGAGGAGGGCGGGCTCCCTGAGGCCCCGGGGTCAAAGGTCAGCAAAGCAGGAAGTGAACGTCATCTGCAGGAAGTGAACGTCATCTGTTGTTTCTTTTTTATTATTTATTTTTATTATTCAGTTATTGCACATGTATAGTTTCACAGGACACATATTCAAACCATCAACGCTAGAGATGCCGCCACAGAGAATAAATAATATATATAGAAATAAAGGTATATATCTGATCCCTTATATCTCTTCAACCTGCTAAATGTTTTTTTTTTCTTGCATCAGGCCAAGAGGCCGAAACTAGTGAGAGACAAAAAGGTCTCATTCAGAGATCCATCTGCTCCGGAGGACCAGGTGAGGATATCAGGTGCACCCATATAGCCATACATCTATTCTCTACACAATGTTTTATGAAGAGACGTCAACTTTTTCTGTGTCTTCTGCTCCTCTTCAGGAGGAGGACACGAGAGACATCGCACCAGCTGCTATAAAGGTACATAAAATACTTCACGTACACTGTACAAATGCAAGATGTACAACACATCTTGCATTTTAACCAGACTGCAGTATAAGTACGTAGTTAAAGTAGTGATAGTATTATAATATAGTATGGTATTGTAATTTTACAACAAAGGCACTTTTATAAAGGCATAAATATTCACTGGCAATGAAATGCTTAATATTAATGAGATAAATCAGCAGCTCGTGCTGTGTTTGTGTAAACAAAGAGGTATAAATTAGGTTTCACTTTTGTTTACATGTTGACAGATGTTTTGAGTGTGTGTTGTTGTTGTTGTTCTATTCTGGTTGGTACCACAGAAACACGCCAGTTTCACGAAGGCCGAAGCCCTGCCCCCAAAATAAAGATAAATGTGTTTTTCTCAGCTAAATATAACCCAACTATTCTAATTGTCAGGTGTTAATAAATTGATTAAAACATAACTATTAATATTATATTTCATTGCTGCTGGTAAACCTTTTTTTTTACAATCGTCCCTACTAGAAGTAAGAATATCTCTCTTTGTGCTGCTTTTGATCAGGAACATTGTGGAGAATGAATGTGATGGACTCCTGTGTGTGTTTTGCAGCCTGTGTTGGCTCCTCCTCCTCCCAACACCACAGAGGAAGAGGAGGAGGAAGAAGAGTCTCACTTCTCTGAAGGTCAGCTGGTGGTGGCCGGCTCTCCTTCTGACACCTCTGAGGTCTCTGACTACATGGTGGAAGGTGAGGAAGAGTTGATGGAATCATGAGTCACACTAGGAAGACTCTGCAGAGTAACCGTGATAAACAATGAATGTTATTGTTTACCAAAGCCTCTCTCATAAATATTGAACGCTTCTACCAACAATCTTTAGAGCGCCCTTCATAAATGTTAACAACGAGCCTCCGAGGGAAAGCTCCTTAACTGGATTGTGTTCTTTTGCCCCCTCCCCCCCATCCAGATGTGGACGAGTCCTCTCGGTCAGACAGCGATGACATCGTTCATGGGCGGCCGGCGGAGAGGAAGGTCAATGGGCGCTCTTGTTTACCTCCTCAGAGAGGTGCACGGATCGTTATGTTGTTAACAAACAGCTCCAAGGGGGCGTTTGTTTTTGTTTGGCTTCGATCTGGATTGTGCCTCCAAGCACAATGTTTGTTTCTGAATGAGAAAGTCAGCCAAAAGAGGAAGAAGTATTTTACATTATTTGTCAACATTAATTGTTGAAAGGTTCTTCGTTTATATTTTCTGTCCAGACTTCAAAATTAACCCTAACGTGGAGACAGGAAGCCGCAGCAGAATAATTGTTAGATCCGTTATCCCGCTTATTGTTTGTACTCGTTATTGATCGTATCAGGTGCACCGTGGATTAGGATGATGTCTATTATGATAATTCAATTCAATTCATCTTGTGTTGCCTAAAGTCACAAATCAGTCTTAGAGGGCTTTGCAGTCTGTACACATGCAACATCCTCTGTCCTTTGATCCTCACATCTGCACAGGAAAATCTCCCTCATTATTGACGATAATGATCAGACGTATTATCTGATCCAACCTTTTCTACAGCCGTCGCAGGGGGTCCGGCTGGAGGTTGTGTCTCTGACCTTGAGGCCGGACTCTCGGGTGTTCCAGGATGGCAGCGTGGTGCGTCTGTTTGTGGAGTACTCTCTGCTGGATCTGCCCACCGAGGAAACCCCCCTGTCTCTGCCCAAACCCCCCCCGGGCAAGAGCATCAACTATAACTACAGCAAAGGTCAGAGCTCACTATCCAAAGCCAGCTTCTCGTCACAGCACTACGTACTACCTACATCTACCTACATACTAGGTTTATCGTCACGGTTATATGTTCATTGTCGCGGTACTACCTTCATCGTCACGGTACTACGTTTAGCGTCCTCGCTGTCCTCACTGAATACAATTTAGAATTACAATTGATTTCAGGCCATTTAAAGAACAACCACCTTACTATTCCTCATGACCGTCTTTGTTGTTTCATAGTGATTCCTGTGGACTCTGAGAATAACGGGGCGCGGCGCCGCCTGCTGAGACGAGTCCTGCAGGGAGGAAAGCCTCAGATGGAGAGGTGGGGGTGGCAAGGGAAATAGGGAAACACTTAAAATGAAGCTCATGTCTTGACACGCACATGAATAAGTAATTTCTGTATGTTGACTTGTTGTTTTTGGGGGGCAGAATTTCGTTCACCGTGGTCACAGAGCCTCCAGAGGAAGAGGAGCAGGAGAAGGAGTGTGAGGATGTCGGGGTGGCCTTCATTCGGATCCCCGAGATCCTGGAGAGACAACAAGACATGATTGAGACCAGCCTGGACGGTCAGCGCGCACACATTACTCAGACACACACGCAGCTCCTCTTGTTGGTCCTCAGTGTCTCTCTGTTCTGCAGTGGTGGACGTGGAGGACAGCAGTCAGGTGGTCGGCAGTCTGATTGTGACCGTGGAGGGACTGCATGTTCTACAGGCCATCATGGAGGAAGCGGACCTGGACCAGGACCTGGAGCAAGAGCAAACCCCGGTCTCCTCTCTGCTTCCATCATCATGAGGCACCACTGACCCAGAAGTACAATTACAACCACAAATACATATCTTCAGGACTTTCATTCAGACTCTTGTCTGTGGTGTTGGTGTTGATATTTAAAGACATGTGGTCCAGCATCAGTGTGACCGGCAACAACAGCGCCAGCAACATTCTGACCGGCGTTCATGTTCCCCAGAGGATGGACCCTACCACAGTCTGGTCTGCCTGTTGGTGTGCCGTTGTGACTTATTTCACATTGAAATGAGACGTTTATTACACAAATAAAATGTTACATTTGAGCAAACTTTTATTTATTAAATATGTGTGTAAATGTTCATAAACACCAGCTCTGAAGATCTTTTCTTCAATGTGAAATAGTTTAAAGTTTGTACTGTAGTTATTTAATGGAGCCAAACTATTCTGTGATTAAATAAATATGTGATTAAAAACAGAAGTCTTGACAGTTTTCCTTCAATTTAATTTTTGTCTCTGTTTGACATTGTTTTCTAATTAAAAAAAAATTCTGTAAATAATAATAAATAATTATTTTCATCACTTGTATTATTGTTATGACGATTATCATCAACATTATTGCTATTTTATCATCATTGGTATTATGATGATGATCATTATTATTATGACCATCAATGACACTAATGATAAATTCAGACTAAAAGGATTTGATCTGTTTCTTAGGCCCAACCCCAATCTCCGCCCCTCACCCTTGTCCTAGTCTGATTCTGATTCTAGTCTGGTGTCTTTATCTGGTCTGCAGTGACACGGTTTGTCCACACATGCAGCGTGAGCACATCAGCAGCAGCTGACAGAGGAGGAGGAGAGGAAGAGGAGTGGAGGTGAAGGAAAAGAATAAGAGAAGGAGAGGAAGTAGAGAGTAGAAAGGAACGGATGGAGGAGGAGGAGCACATGTAGGAGGAGCAGAAGGAGGACCACATGGAGAGGACCATCCAGCCAGCTGCGTCCCTCAGCAGGTAAATGTATTTCAATTTAGTCTCTTTAATACATTTTAACGATGTGTTTTCTTTTCTTCTTGTTTTTAAATCTTAGTGAATATTTAAACTTTGATGACATCACGTTTTGTTTTAATTCCTGATGATGTTTGATCAGCAGACTAACTGATATCAGGAATATAATAACAAAAATAATCATGTTTATATAATCTCTCACAACTTTAATGTTTATCATATTTGAAAGAAGACATAGAAACACTGAGAGGGTCTCACACGAAGAGTGTGTGTGTGTGTGTGTGTGCGCACGGGCGCGCACGCGCGTGTGTGTCGCAGTGTGTGTGCGGTATTCAGCTGTTTGTGACGGATTGAGTTCAAGACGCTTTTGCATCATGAATTTTAACTTTGAAGATCTGATGTGAAACCTTGAAACATTGTTTATTAACAGTAATGAAACTTAATAATAAAATGTATGTTTTTTATATTAGCAGCTTTTTATTATTATTTAAATCAGAGATGCCAGATTTGTTTTTTAGAAGAAAACTCTCAACCAATCAGAGTGTTTGAGGACATAAACAAACAGAATTAAGTTAGTTACCATGATTATTATGTATTTAGTAGATTTTTAATACATGTTAGATGCAGGTTTTATTTTACGACTAAAAACATGGTCTCCTCCTCTCAATCGTTCTCTCCCCCGCTCTTCCCCCTCCTTCTCTCACTCCTCCTCTCTCCCCACCTCTTTCTCCTCCCTCTCCTTGTCCTCCTCCCACTCCTCTTCGTCCTCCCCTCCTCAGTATGAGTGTGGATGAAGACTCCCGGTGGCTCGACTGGGTCACCAAACAGTTTGAGAGCATCGCCGGGGACGACAAGGAGATCGACCTCCTTGAATTCAAGACGGCCCTGAAGGTCAAAGAGGTCGGAGGAGTACTAATATAAATACCACTAAACGCTGTAAATCATATAAACAGTACAAATACTGTAAATACTATAAACACTATAAGTATAATTATTGTTTTTATTATTAAAACATTATTAAAAAGTTTTGTGCGTTTTTCCCTACAGTCGTTCTTTGCCGAGCGTTTCTTTGCCCTCTTTGACTCCGACGGCAGCAGCTCCATCAGCCTGGACGAGCTGCTCAGAGCTCTGGACCTCCTGATCCACGGCAGCCAGACGGACAAGCTCCGATTCCTCTTCCAGGTCTACGACGTAGACGGTACAGTGGAACATCAGAGAACTTCAGCATCCACCCCCGGTGAACCTCCGGTTCTCTGAGGCAAAGCTTCATAGTCCAAGCTGCATCCTCTGCAGTGACCACCAGGGGGTGACCCCTCTGGTCCCATTGAAGTCTATGAGAAAATGACCCTACTTCTCTAATCTCTAATAGACCATATGGCAGGGGGTGCTTTAGGGCGGGACTATATGCTGATTGACAGGTCTCTACTAACAACATATATGCCGTCTCTAAATCCTCCTCAGTACCGATGAGGTTGCTTCCTGTTCATTGGTTGCAACAAAAACCAATAACGACGGCTAAAACACCGAACTAGCTTCAAAACATCTACAGGCCGCAATGAGACGTCACCATGACAACGTCCACTTCTGACATGCAGACTAACATTCTAACCACATATTATCCGTATTAATATACAACAAAAATGATGTTTCTTGATGTTCAGGCAGCGGCTCCATCGATCCAGACGAGCTCAGGACGGTTCTGAAGTCGTGTCTGCGTGAGAGCGCCATCTCTCTGCCGGAGGAGAAGCTGGACGACTTGACGCTGGCGCTGTTCGAGTCGGCCGACAAGGACAACAGCGGCTCCATCACCTTCGAGGAGCTCAAGGAAGAGCTAGAGAACTTCCCCGAGGTGATGGAGAACCTCACCATCAGGTCAGACTCCGCCAGGGTGGAGAACCTAGAGGCTCTATTGGCTCACCCAGAATGTGACCTCCTCTTAAATTATAATGAGGTTCTACACCTCTTAATGAATCAGTGAGGTTCTGTCGTACAAATGATTCTTTGACAAGGAAAGTGAGCACATTATTTTGACACCATGTTTCATCTCTCCTTCTCCTCTATCCTCCTTCCCATCCTCTATCCTCCTCTTCCTTCTCCTCTACTCTCCTCCTGCTCACCCTCTATCCTCCTCCTCTATCCACCTCCTCCTCTTTCTCGTCCTCTTCATCCTCCACCTCCACCTTCTCCCCTCCCAACCCCTCCTGTTCTCAGTGCTGCAAACTGGCTGAAGCCCCCGGAGGAGGAGCAGAGGAAGCGCAGGGCTCCTCGTTACCTGACGAGAGCATACTGGCTGAACAACAGCAGGAAGCTCTTCTTCTTGTGTCTCTACTCCTTCATCAATCTGCTTCTCTTCTTCACGGCCTTGATGCAGCACAGAGAGGGGGGGGGCTGGTTCATGCTGGCCAAGGGCTGTGGACAATGTCTCAACTTCAACTGCACCTTCATCATGGTAGGAGATGGGGGGTGAAATGTAGGGAGGAGACAGAGGAGAAGGAGGGACGAGACAGGGGACAGAGGATAGGGCCAAAGGAGGGGACGGAGGGAGAAGAAAAGGGACAGAGGAGACGGGCGACGGGACATACATGACCGATGTCGTCTCCCTGTTGTCCTCCAGGTGCTGATGCTACGTCGCTTCCTTACCTGGCTAAGAGCCACCTGGGTGGTGAAGGTCTTACCTCTGGACCAGAACATCCTGCTGCACCAGATCGTAGGCTACGCCATCCTCTGCTTCACTCTGGTCCACACCATCGCCCACATCTTCAACTTCGGTACCCACTCATTCATTTATTGCCAAAATATGTTAGACATACAAGGAATTTGAAATGATGGTTGGTGCATCAGAGAGTAAGACAATGGACAACGAGACAGGTAAAAGGAGTTGTTCCCCGGATAATCATGAGCTCATCTCTGGAGAAAGAGCTCCTGGAATCCCAGCAGAAAACCGAATTAACAACAAAAACAACACCTCCATCATCATCACCACCACTATCATCATTCCCATACTCCTCACCCGCATCACAATCGTCCTCATGACCATTATCATCATCACAACAACAATCATCATCACCATCACCACAATCATTATTATCATCGCCGTCACGACCATCACGACCATCACGACCATCATCACATCTATCACCACAATCATCATCATGACCATCATCATCATCACAACAATAATCATCATCATCAACATCACCACCATCATCACCATCCCTGTACTCATCACCACCACCACCATCATCATGACCATCATCATCATCAATCCCTATACTCATCACCATCACCACAATCATCATCACCACCATCATCATCATCACCTCCATCATCATGATGCATGCTGGGATTATAATTTTGTTTCTGCCATAGAACATCTCCAGGAGAGACTATGATTTATTAGTATTATCATCATACGGGTCAGGTGACGATCAAAACTTTGGACAAACTTTCACTTTGAATTGAAGGAGATAATGTGTCCAAACTTTTGACTGGTATTGAACATGTATGTTGGTGATAATATGAATGTTATTTTTGGCTCCACTAATGCGTATTTGGGGGACCTCCTGCTGTGCTCAGCCCGGCTCACTCGGGCAGGTCGCTATCGGCTGTGGGAGTATCTGCTGACCACCAGACCCGGCATCGGCTGGGTCAGAGGAACCGCGTCCCTGACCGGACTCCTCCTGCAGCTGGTTATTGGCCTCATGGTGCTCTGCTCCAGCACCTTCGTACGGAGGAGCGGCCACTTTGAGGTTGGGGGAGTGGGGGTGCATTTCTGTGGTCTTGATTTTCAAAATACAAAAGGAACTAAAAAATTACTTTAGTGCAGAATACGTTATGATGACATCACTCTTTACTAGGAACAAATTTATTTTAGGATGTAAATATACAACATGTTATTTATGCAAAACTATTGGGATATTTTCGTCCTCTTTGCTCTTTGTTCGCTTGCTGAAATTCACTCATATTTTCTCTAATTTATGGTGAGAGGAGTTGACTCACTGAGGAGCTTGAAACGTAATGTTTTATACAGAATCTGGTTCAAGTGAATTATATATTAATGGAAAGATATTGAACAAGACTTGTAAAGTAAAATGTTTAGGATTAACTATCAGTCTTCTGACTTAACCGTCACACAGGATGCGTTCAGGGACCGGGGGACAGATGATCCATAAAGTTTGTTTTTGTTTAGAGAAAAGCTTCTTTGTGGTGTTGATAAGAGTAAGACATCGTGTAATCATGTAATCATGAATCCCTTCCCCACTGGCTGACAGGTGTGTCCCTTTGTCCTCAGGTGTTCTACTGGTCTCACCTGTCCTACGTGTGGGTCTGGTCTCTGCTGATGGTCCACTGCGCCAACTTCTGGAAGTGGTTTGTGGTTCCTGGTCTGATCTTCCTGCTTGAGAAGACCGTAGGACTGGCTGTGTCCCGTATGGGTGGGCTTTACATTGTGGAGGTCAACCTGCTGCCCTCCAAGGTTA